GCTGCTTTTTTTTTTTTCTTCTTTGGCTGCTCAAAGAAAGTGGGCGCAGCCCCTGTTTTGACTCAACAGAAAATGAATTGTTGGAATTTAGGCTTCACAATAAAACCTAATCGATAGAATATTTTTTCATTTTGTGTTGTATAGCATGTAGAAAGGAAATTAACAAATTGTAGTCTGAAATATGCAAAATTGAGAAGAGAGATAAATTAAATAAATAATATAACGTGGTATCTCTTCATTTTCTCTTTTCGCCATTTTAACTGATAATACATTTCTACAAAAATTCACGTGTGCACTTCTCTAATATTTTGACAACCAAAAAAATTCACGCGTGCACTTCTCTAATATTTTGACAACCAAGACAAGTCAGTATCCATTCCCAAGTGAATATGCATTCTACTTCCAATAAGTACATGGATATGTAACTATCCCCTAAATTCAGCTTCTTTCCTATGGTCTTTTAATCATTCGCACGTACTCAATTTGTTTCACACGCACATATTCCTTATATTTCCTAGTCGACAAGTCTAATTTCGGCCATCCCACTAGTTCTTCACCAGACAATGTTAACCAACATACGATATCATCCGATTAGTCCTACTCACTAACAATATAATATTTTTCCTAGTCAACATGTCTACATCACCAAGCCTTAGCCCGATCTTTGAGCGTCTCAGGGAAACATCTCATCTTCAACTGATCCTCCTTCAACTCGTGGAGTGGAAAGGTCTGGAGGACATTGTAGAATTCACGAATGAAATGGAGTGGGTCCTCGTTGGGTAAACCGTGAAAGGATGGAAGTTGGTTGTAGTGGATTGTCTTGAGCTCGTAGTTCCGAGCTGTTGGCCCCAACCGAATGCAAGTCACTGGCCCAATCATCGGAGTTAAATCAAAAGACTCAATCCCCGGGTCGTATCTGAAAAAAGGTTAGCCGGATTATTTGTACGGATATTCAATCACACGAAAAGAGAAAACAAAATCCTAGATTCTAATTTAATAGATTTGGTTTCGATTACCAACTACGAATTCTAAAACTAAGAAATTTTAATCTCACAACTTTAAACACGATTCAAATATTGGTAAAGGGACTAGGGTGTAAGGGATAATCGTTTCCGGTTCCACACATTAAACGGGAAATCAAAAACTCAGTTAAAGGACTCAGAAAATCTTACTCATCTAGAGATTTATTCTCAATAACTCTTCCTAACAAGAGAATAAACATAAACGAACGATTATCGAGTCAATTAACGCATAGACAATATCATTACAAACAAGCTTATTCTAAACGAGCCTAGATCGATCGATTTTTCCCTTTTTGATTCTAAAAATCGACTAACTAGATTAAGATGGTGATCAATCATTTAATCCTAGGATTAATACAACTCGCAAAGATTGAGCAATCAACATGCACGTAAACGAAATCAAACCGGAATAATTATCTCCTAACCCTACATAACGAATTTAGCTAGTCATCATGAATTCAACATCAAAATTCTCATCAAACAAAGCCATATCATTCATGAATAAAATGAAAAGAGAAGCTTACGATTAATTCGAAAATCAAATCCCAAGTGCAACACAAATCCGAAAAGACAAATCTTGGAGTTTTTACTCTCCAAGATTGAATCCCAATGAAAACTAAGAGAAAAAGAGTTTTTGGTAGTGAAAGTACGAAATACAATGTTCAGAACTCCCCAAAATATGCCCTAGTTTCGATCTATATAGTTCCCCATTAAAAAATCTGCGAAAAATGCGACTGTTTCAGAACAGACATTGGCGTCGCTAGGGGGGAGGGGCAGATTGTTGGACCTTCTGCCGTCCGCTAGCGCCCTTAGCAGCGCTAGCCTTTCTGACTTAGCGGCGCTAGGGTTTGGGTGACTCCCACACTTGTTAATTTTTATGCTTTAGGCTCGCGTGCTCTCAACTAGCATCTCCCTTCTGCTCGAGATGGAAATTTAGTTCCAGCATGTTGGGTCACGTGAAACGACATGGAATTCCTCAGAACCAGAACACAAATTTGCTTCTCTCGTATGTTGTAGCATCGCGTTCGATTTATAGAAATTTTCGGATTATTCTATTTAACGAATTTTATTTATCGGATTATGTTTTATTATTGGTTGTGATGTAGTTAATAATTGGTACTTAAATTATATATTTAAGTACTTGATCATTTTACCTTTAAAACATTTGTCGTTCGGTGATTTCGGTTTAATCGCGTAAACCGAATTTGTATCCATTTCAATTATTTTCGCGAGCGACCCAACTGGGACTTGAACCAGTTTAAATTTCTAAACCTTTGGGTTGCCTTTTGTCCCTTAGACTGCAAGAATTTCAGCCTCGGGCCGCGGACCCTAGCCGAGTGCCTCGTTTTTGCATTTTGAGAGTCGGCTTACCTTTTTTAGCCGATTTTGGCTAAGGCCGAGCCAAACCCAGACCAAGTCCCCTATGCCACGCGCGCCCAGCCCTAGAGGTGCCTAAGAATGGTAAGTGGAAGCCCTCGCTCTTTTCTTTTGGCATGTATATATATATATATATATATATATTTGGTCTTTCCCCCTCCCTAAGTCACTCTCTCTTCTCATATTTTTGCGACGTTAGCCCCCTCCCCTTATTTCTCTCCTATCCCTTCATTCAAAATCTGAGAAAAACACTCAACACTCATCAGAAAATTCACCAAACCCGATCGCCACCATCGCTAAGCCCATCATTGTCGTGACCACCGCACGCTGGCGCCTTCCTCTCCCCGCTCAATCACCCGAGATCAGCAACGATCCCTGGGCCTTCACTTCGATCATCCATGACATGGCCAATCGATCGAAGCATTCACGGCCAGCAGGACCCCGCTCACGACCACCGGAGGTCACTAGCACCCGCGACGAGCCACGCAAAGCTGTCGAGTCTCGTCCCAGCACTCCACCCGACCCTCTTGTCACCCGTTTCACGATCTCTCCTTGGAGTACGGTAATGGGTGGCTATCCCTTCTTTTTTGCTGATATATGATGATATCATGTTGGCCCTTCGTTTTGATTATGTGTTATTAGTATTTTGATGTTGATTTATGTGTAATTGTTTGAGATTCAAACGGTTTAATGAATAAACCACTGAATCTCGATTAATTTCATGGAACCCCTATGGATTTTGGAACTTTGGACCATCCTTGGTCTAATGGTAAAGATCTTGGACAATTTTGATGTGTTTTGATTGAGTTATGATTTTTTTAAGTCGTGTACGCCTCTGAAAATTTCGAAAATTATGATAAATCATACCTTTGTCCAAATTTATTTAAATTTTTAGGATTGTCTACGCTGATGTTGAGTTTTATGTGTTAAAATTTCAAAGAAAAATTCGATATGTAACTATGTGAACTGAGAATTTCTCTTATCACCTATAACCTTTGAAAATACGTGTTAAATAATAGGCTAGTTCAAATTGCTTGGTTTTCTGTGGTTGGAAATATTTTTCCATGTTAGATTTCTCTTAAATTTCAAAACATAATTTGAAGTATAAGTGTCCAAACCGAGATTTGATGTTTTTACCCTGTTTCTTTGAGGAATTGTTAAAAATTGCATACTAGGTCTTTTTACTTGAAACATTTAAGGATGTTATTTGTTGTTATGATATCCATTGTGTTAAATTTTCAGATCAAAACTCGACTTGTAGGTACATGAACTGAAAATTGTCTATGCTGGACTGTTTCTTTAAAAATCTATCTAAAATCACGGGATTGCTAAAATTGAGTGATTTTCTGGGAATTAGAGCCTTTTATAATTTTCAGCATGTGGTTAAAATTTCAAAGGGGAATTCGTCTTGTAGCATATTGAATCAAAAAATGTTCGATTTGCCCTTGTTTTCGCGAAAACTGTTTGAACTAGTTAGGAGTTTATTTAATGGTCAATCTTTTGTGTATTGATGTCTTTTTGAGTCATGTCTA